CCCGGCAGAAAACAATCTTTTTTAAAGATTTATTTATTTCTAGCCGGGCAGTGGTGGCGCACGCCTTTAATCCCAGCACTCGGGAGGCAGAGCCAGGCGGATCTCTGTGAGTTCGAGGCCAGCCTGGGCTACCAAGTGAGTTCCAGGAAAGGCGCAAAGCTACACAGAGAAACCCTGTCTCGAAAAACCAAAAAAAAGAGATTTATTTATTTCTATTTTACATGGTCTGGTGTTTTGTCACATGTATGTCTGTGTGAGAGTATCCGATCCCCTGGAACTGGATTTACAGATAGTTGTGAGCTGTCATGTGGGTGCCGGGAATTGAACCCACTCCCTCTGGACCAGTACTCTTAACTGCTGAGCCAGCCCCAGAGGAAAAAATTCCCCACAGAACTCAGTAAAAAGTGCTCAGATGTTTCCAACAAGCTGACTCCAGTTGCTCTTCTATGAATATGCCTCACTTCGTCTTTGTGGTGCTGAGGTTGAACTAGTGCCCTCCTGCTAAGCCACACTGCCACTGAGCTACTTGTCCTTAGCCTTGCACAGCCACCATTGCAGAAAAGACTGGGCAAGTGAAGCAAGACCCCTGATAGCAACAAACTTTATACAAAAGCGGCTAATACATATTCAAAGGTAGACTTGGCCAGCCGATGGTGGTGCATGTCTTTAACCCCGGCACTTGGGAGGCAGAGGCAAGCGGATCTCTGTGAGTTCGAGGCCAGCCAGGGCTACACAGAGAAATCCTGTCTTGAAAAGCCAAAAAAAAAAAAAAAAGAAAAGAAAAGAAAAAGAAAGAAAGAAAGAAAAAAGAAAGAAAGAAAAAGAAAGAAAGAAAGAAGCAAGGTTGGGTGAGTGCAGGGTCACTATTGGACCTGCACAGAATGCAAATTCCCCAAGATTCAATTTAGGATGTCAAGGAAGACATGCAGTTTACCTGAGGGGCCTGGTGTCAGTTTTCCTCTAACTCATTCATTTCTCTCTTTCTCTCTCCTCTCCTTCCTCCTCCCTAGTCTGGCTACTGTGACTCTATGTCCAGATTAATTTTATTTGATGTCCCGAATGTTCCTTGCACTTTGCAAGATGCCCAAAGGCCGAGGTAACCACAGTGTGCCTAGACAATCTCTAGGGGACAATGTCACCTGCTTTTCCACATCAGGAACTTCACATTCTGCTTTGGCCCAGGTAGTTCCCAGTGGTATCACTTCATTACATTTTCACTGAATTTCCAACAGGTTGCTAACACTGTGTTATTATCTGATAGGAAAACAAACAACTGCCTGATAAATGGATAAATTAGCGAGGATATGAACGGCTCCCCCTTTACAAAGGTCATCGATTACTGTATTGATCTCCTACTTCATTGACCCCTTTATTGGTATATTTTGATAATCTAAAACCTACATCCACTTCCTAAAGTAGTTTGCTGATAGATCTTCTGTTTTAATTTTTGGTTTTTGAGACAGGGTCTCATACTGTCCAGGCTGACTTAGAAACTCTTTATGTAACTGAGAATGACTTTGAACTTCTGATATTCTTGTCTCCACCTCACAAATGCTGGGGTTACTGGCCTGTCCACCACGCCTACTTCTACCAGACCCAGGGCTTCACGAATACTAGGCAAATACACTAAACTGTGCCACACTCCCAGCCCCTGCTCATGGGTTTTTATACCCTTTTTTAACCCGGAGGACGATTTGACTTATTCAATTTGATGGATACTTATTAGACACTTGTCAGACTATAAAAGAAACACTCAGAATAACTCACTCTCATAACTTCATGAACCTTAAATCTCATAGGGGAAAGTATGAAAATAGTAAATCAGCAAATAAAAAGTAGAATTACTATAAAAGAAACAGAATCATGATGGGGAAACATAGAGCAAATCTCAAATTTCAAAAATTACTTTATTAGAGTTTGTGTGTGTGTGTGTGTGTGTGTGTGTGTGTGTGTGTGTGTGTGTGTGTGTTCATGCATGTGCAGGTGTACATGTGCCTTGGCGTATGTGCAGAGGTCAGAAGGCAACTTTTGGGAGTCAGTTCCCTTCTTCTACCAGAGGCTGCTGGGATCTAACACGGGTGTTCAGGCTTGCACAGGCTTGCACTTTTACCTATCTCTGTTGGGGAATGTTATTTTAGGGTGTGTTACTTTTGTTTATGTTGCATTTGTTTAACTCTGTGAAGCTGTGTTACTGTGCCTGTCTAAAACACCTGATGGACTAATAAAGAACTGAACGGCCAATAGCAAGGCAGGAGAAAGGCTAGGCGGGGCTGGCAGGCAGAGAGAATATATAGAAGGAGAAAAGTGGAGCGAGGAGGAGCCAGAGAAGGGGAGGACATCAGGGGCCAGGCACCCAGCTACACAACCAGCAAGCCACGGAGGAAGAGTAAGACTTACAGAAGAGAACGGGAAAAGCCCAGAGGCAATGGATAGACGGGATAATTTAAGATAAGGAAAGCTGGCTAGAAAGTAAGCCAAGCTAAGGCCGGGCATTCACAAGTAATAATAAGCCTCCGGGAGTGAATTTATTTGGGAGCTGGGTGGTGGGTCCCCCAAAAGACCAAAAACCCCTAACAACACATCTCAGTTGCTGGAGTTTCACTGTAGAAAGCATGCTGAGGGAACCTTCAGAGATTGAGATGACCTTTAATCCCAGCAGAGGCAGGTGGACTCTGTGAGTTCGAGGCCAGCCTGGTCTATAGCTAGAGTTCCAGGACATCCAGGGCTACATAGTAAAATCCTGTCTAAAAACATAAACAAATAATACCAGGTAAGCCAACAGCTAAAAGAAAGGTAAGAGAGCAGTTTAGGAAGAGGGCAAAATATGTAAAAAGGCCTAGAGGCAGAAAAGATGGGGTGTCTGACTTTTAGGTTGGTTTGTTTTTCTTTGCTCCAAATACAGTAACAGAGAAACAGAGAACAATCTTGCACAGAGCTTGTGGAATTGTTTTCCTGGGCTGAGTCCTCACCACTGATTCTTTGCAGCTCTTTCTCTAGGGTCTGGAGGTGTTTCTTCCTCCTGCTCTAGATAGCTTCTTTTTCAGAACCACTCACTTTTTTTGCTACTCCACCTCACCCCCCAAAGTAACCATTAAAGGACCTGCAAGGTAGCGGACCAGCAGAGCAAGGCATTTGCCGCAGAGCCGGGTGACCTCAGCTTGCTCTCTGGAACCCACAGACTGAAAGGAGAGAACCAACTCCTGCAATGTCGTCTCTGGCCTTCACATGTGTGCATTCACACACATATACACACAAAAGAGGTGTGTGTGTGTGTGTGTGTGTGTGTGTGTGTGTGTGTGTGTGTGTGTGTTTTAATTTAATGTAATAAATCAGGCTGAGCTGGGCAGTGTGAGCACACACCTTTAATCCCAGTATTCAGGAGGCAGAGGCAGGTGGGTCCCAGAGTTTGAGGCCAGCCTGGACTACAGGGTGAGTTTCAGGACAGCCAGGGCTACCCAGAAAGACAAAAAACAAACAAACAAAAAGGTTTTTATATAAGAGATCTAAATAGATAGCTCAGAGGATAAGAATGCTTGCTCCCCAAGCACGGACCTTAGTTCAGATCCAATCACTCCGATCCCATAAAAAGCTGTGAGGTACTTAATAAAGTGCTCCATTCCCAAATTCCCTTTGTGTCCTAACTCTTTCTCCTCCCCACTCTCTCTGTTTTTTAAGACAGGCTTTCTCTGTGTAGCCCTGGCTGTCCTGGAACTCACTCTGTAGACCAGGCTGGCCTCCAACTCAGAGATCTGCCTACCTCTGCCTCTGCCTCTTGAGTGTTGAGGTTAAGCATGTGCCATCATGACCCAGCTGATTGGTTCTCTTGTGTACACACAACCTATACACTGGTTCACTCAGCCCTGGCTGGGTATCTGTTTTGTACCAGCCCTTGTACCGGGTGCTAGAGTCAGAGATGTTCAAGAAGTTCCCTGTATCCTCAAGGAGCTTAGTCTCATGTAATATCCACAAAGCAAAATCATCTGGGGGTATTTGCAATAATGAGATTCCTGGCTTCATGCTTGGTGTACGGAATCTTCAGGGATGGAATCTAAGTTCCATTTCTTTGTTGTTGTTTTGTTTGTTTGTCCTCTGTCTCTGCTAAAACTAGAGATAACCAGACACCAGAGTCAGACAAATGGAATTTCAACGCTAAGAAAATGTGTTAAGGGCTGGAGAGATGGCTCAGAGGTTAAGAGCACTGGCTGCTCTTCCAGAGGTCCTGAGTTCAATTCCCAGCAACCACAAGGTGGCTCACAACCATCTCCAATGGGATCTGATGCCCTCTTCTGGTATAAAGGTGTACATGCAGATCGAGTACTCAGAAACAAAACAAATCTTTAAAAAACTTTAAAAAAAGCGTTAATAATATATGTACAATATATTATGAAAATAACTCCCCTTTTACAGCGGAAAGTAGTCGTATAGAGGTAGTCAGAACTGGACAAACTGTAGCCCTCCTGGCATGTAAAGCATTCAAAAAGTAATACTGTGCAAAGGTTTGTGGAGTACCGAGTATTCCAAAGGACACTAAGTTGTTTGTGGATGTTTTGTTGCCTGAGGCCGCGTGGAGGATGGGGAAAGACGGAAAGTTGAGACTATGAAGTAGTCGTTCGCCCAGATTTAATCGCAACTAGACCCTCGCGCAGTTACTATACTCGGCTTCGTTGGTGCCACAGTGCGCAGGTGCACCCAGGCCTTGGTTTTACGCATGCGCATTATTTAACTCTGAAGCCACAGGCGGAAGATGGAGAGCGAGTGTTTCTTCCCCCCTCAGAACGTTCAGGGCTAGAACTCAGAGACTGTGGCTGTGTCCATGTTTGGAGCGCGAGCCTGTGTCTCACTCTAAACCTCCTTTCCTTTTGGGCCGCTCTAAGAAGTTGGCTGCCAGTACCTAATATGGCGAGGGGCCCTGCATCCGCGCGCTGGCTCCCGGCGCTCGGCTCCGGGGGGGGGGGGGGGGGGGGGGGCGGCGCCCCACGAAAGGGCGGGAGTTTGGGGGG